GGTTTTCATGTCGGTTTTAGTCACATAAGTTGGCAACACTATTCAGACCTAATTCTAATAGTTAAGTATATCTTTCATCAATTTCTACCAAACTAATTACATGTGTCTTCACATGCCTTTACACTTTTGTTTTTCTAATTTTCCTCCCATCAAATCAAATACTAGCAAATTTGACTAATTAAAGGGATGTAAGTATATTGATAATTTACCTTGTTATTTCCCATATAAGTGGCCATTATAGTCCCTAGTCATTCATATAGTTAATAATTGGAGATTAGTTGAGCTATGTTATTTTATTGTATGCATGTATATGGATTAGTGATTGACTGTGAAGTCGAAGTTGGCGGCATAGCTAGTAACATCTTAAATGGGGCAATAGTTAAATTCAATGGTGTTTAGCATGGTGTACTTCTTAAATGATTTAATTGTCGATATATACTTTTTCAATAGTAAATTTTCCTTTTGAGTTGTGTTGTTTCCTCACATATGTGATATGTTTTCCGAAAACTTGTTCAGTTGAGTTGTTAAGTCTAATCTTTCGCCGATACTGTAAAAATTTGACGACTAATTTTAATTATGATCAACTTATATTAAAAATGGACAAAAATCTCACGTCTAGAAAAAGAAAGTTTTCCATTACACATAGAAATTACTCGCATCCATTTCTATTTTGTTGGTTCGAGTAGTTGCAAGTTGCAACAGAGGCAAGAGATTTTGTGTTTAAATATTGTTCATGTCAATAAAATACATTTATAATATTAGTTGATAGCACCATAACAAACAAAAATGATGATATTATATTAAAACAATCAAAATAACATTGAATACAAAGATTTGGAAAGAAAGAACACTAAAGAAATAATCCCTTTAGCTCTTGGGGCAAGACAGTTGAAATGTGGCCCTATGCTCCATTGAAGGGACCAACAATCTTCAGTTTTGGTTTGTTTTTTTATTAGCATTGGAAATGAGCCAAACAGTAATTTAGAAAATGATATTATATAAAAATGTGGATATCTTAGATAAATTAGAAAACATATCTCTTTGCTCATCAAGATATATAATTCTCTAACAGTGAGTGTTTACTGAAATTTGAGACTTTAATCATATAATTCAATTGCAAGAAGAACAAACAAAAAACAGAACTATTATAGC